TTCCTGATGCCCCCAAAAGTTTTTCTTGAGGGACTTCTGTGTGTCTTCCATTGAGGGGGACAGCTTTTCCAGCCTCCTTTAACAGCAGCTGTGACAGTCTTCTGCTGCTTCTTTAGTATGTGGGGGTTCTTCACTTGGTTTCGTGTGTACACTGATCTTTCAGTTTGGTTTTTTTTTGTTCCATTCAATTAATTTTGCATTCCCATGAGCAGCAGGTGGGTTCAGAAAGAGCTGCATTTGCTGGGGCTCTCATGTGAAGTCTTTACTCTCTTCATCTGGTGATAGTCTGCAGGTTGGCAGCATCAGCAAGGAGATGCCAACCCCTGGACCTTCCTCATGCACTGGCTGGGGATGTGATGTGCTCAAGAGCCACTCAGATCTAAAAACTGAGCCCAGATCTCCAGAATCCCTGTTCAGTGCTTCATCCACTAAGCCATTGAAACCTCATTGCCTTTCCCTTGTAGCCACTGGTATTTTGGGATTCATTATGGCATGGCAACAACAACAAAAAAACCTGAACAGCTGCAAAAGCACGTTTTGCTCCCTGTCTTGGATGAACATGGATGAGTTTTCCCCCTGTCTAGCTTGCAGTTTGCTCCTCACCGGCACAATTTTGCCTGAACTTATATTACCACTACAGCACATAATGACCATGAACATCAACAAAGGATGACTAAATATAATTAAGGCATGCTGACAGATATCTTATGTACTTGTTTTCGTATTCTTAATTAACGGCTTAATAAAAAAACAACAATAAAACACTCCCCCAAACCCCGCCACCTCTAGGGAACTTTGTCTCATCCAGATTTTTGATTTTTGTTTCTTTTGGTCTTCAATCTCCAAGACATACTGGCCTACTGCATAAATTATATACTTTCTGCTTAAAACACATGAAGCAAAAAAAAAAAAAGACAAGCTAAGGACCTAGGAGCACAGATCCAGAGTAATCAGTAGTGTAATTCCAAGTCCTCCTTTTACAGAGCAGAACCCTGAAAAAAAAAAAGAATAAGCATCCACTGCAGCTGAACATAGCCGGCTGCCTGGGTCCCTGCCCAAGAAAACCGAGAGAATAAATAGAGATGTTATGGCCCAGACTGTTCTGCTTAGAAGAAGTTATTTAACCTTTGTGCAAACTCCTCTAGCAGTTATCCTAAACAAACATGCTTTTGCTGGGCACAGGAGCATGTACCCATCTAAGAGCACAGAGCAGCCCATCAGTGACTGAAGCATCATCACAACATAAGGAAGAACCAACCTCAAAACTGCCCAGGGAGATCAAGGTTGAAATTCCTCCTGGTTGTGGTTACAACAGCAGAGCAAAAATAATACTATAAAGTGCATTGCATCAGAGTATAGCTGGGTATAGTTGGGATCAAGAAGGAATTACATTAAGAAACCTAATTTTATGAGTCAGGATTTGATCTTGCTGCCTATTTACCGCTGGAATCACAACTCTCTCTCACACAGCATCAAACATAATTGCTCTGAAGAGAACTACGACAACAGAATGGCAGATTACTGCTTCCAGGTGCAGAATAGCTATCAGGAATAGACAAAATTGTAATCCAGACAGATAGGCTTTTAAAACAGATAGTCTCGGTAGTAATGGGAAGAAAAGCACCTGGATGAGTGTCCAAGAAGCATCTAAATAGCAGCAGAACTTTTTGTGTCTTCTGTCCCACTGAACTGGCTGCAACGTGTTAGTGGAGCAATTTACCGTAACAAAGCGAAGAAAAACTCTCCTGGTCTTTTAGTAAATTTGCCCTTTTTGGGGATGAATATTCATCACCCCCCAGGGCCTCATGCTTTGGATGGAGCTGGCAGAGCCAAGGGATGCTGCTGGTGGTGGAAGGGGAGAGGAGGGAGGTGGTGGTGTGAAAGTTGGTGTCACCTGGCAGAGCACCTCTGAA